AAGGGGATGAGACTAAATAAAAAGGTATAGAAGGATAGAGGGGAAAGTCCAGAGAAGGGTAAAAGTGTACATTTAAAAAGAAATAAAAATCCATGAGCTTGAAGCATTTACCAGTGACATCATGTTTTTAACAACAACAAACCCTCACTTAAGCAATAAAAGGAGACTCAAGAAGGAGGAAGGTGAACCATAAAGGGGTGAGTGAGAGAGAGGGAGATAGAGAAAGAGAGAGGAGGATGACAGTGCACCATTTTTACTGTAGTGCTACAATCAGCGAAACACACATTTTTCTAGCTTGCACGAATTACCACACCAAACTGAAGCCACATCACAAACCACAGAAACCACTTCCCAAACTAATGACTACTGGCTTTTTTCCCATGTAGTGTTCTTTAACCGAGCAGTGACACAAATGGTTCTTTCTGATCTAAAAGATGAAAAGATACTATTATTTTAGGTTCATCACCTCACTCCTCTTTGTTTAATGAGTAGATATCTGAGTAACACAAGGCAACCACGATAACAACTGAAAGCCAAATGCCAAAGTGTCAGTGTCACAGAGAGGGACAGACCAGGACATAAAAACCTCAGTGGAACAGTCCAAGGAAAGGAGACAGGTGCTCTGATCCAAAAGCACACCTTGTACTAAAAGTCCACATTTTGCATGCATTAGAAGCAACCAGGGTGAAATCTGATCTTTGAAAAAAATAATAATGTGAAACAAATTCACATCATTCATAAAATTCCTTAAAAATCACAAAATATAAACATGCAGTTCTGTTCAGTTATGTTTTCCTTTCAAACCAGCTCCCATGTTATCTCAGGGGCTTGGCAGAGGGCTTCAACAGAAGCTGGGAATAATTAGCTACCAGGGTTCAGTCCAGCCAGCACCATGCACTAATACTAGCACCAACCTAACCCCTCCGCCCACCATCCTCTGACCCCTCCCTCTGGGCTGCTGCCTGGTCTAGGCTCGCAGACTATTCCTTGTAACATGTACAAATAAAGAGAATGCCCTCCTTTAGCCATGTCTGCTTTAAACTGAGGCTGTTTTTCATTTAACAGCAGCTCGACACTGAAAAGACCAGAAGACAAGAGACAAGACAGCCATGAGTCAGGAGCTGGAGCATCTGAGGACAGGCACCACAAACAACCGCCTGTTATAACTACTATACTACAGGAACAATTTCATTTGCAGCTTATCCTCTGAGATCTTGTTGAATTAATCCAGGGTGTGTAATGAGAAAAGACCATTTTTGGGATTGTTGAACGATTGTAGGATTTATGACATTGTACTGTCTTATTACTATTGTTACAAACTTGGCGGCAGGACTACTGTCTAAGATCAGTGGTTTGAGGAAAAATAGAGCCAGAACAAGTTAAATTAAAAAATAGTAAAATAGTACAATAGTAAAAATTAAAAGAAATCAGAAGTCCAAACAATTGCAACCAACAAACACTAAGCAAATCCCAGAACAGTTTAAAGCCACTCAACGTTCAGCATATGTACCAAAATGTTTAATATATTAATATTTGAAGTGAAATAAAGCATTGAAGTGTCAAAACTATAACATGTATACTAGGATCTAGGTCTGTGAGATACAGTGTCAGCAGATGACAGAGGGAAGGTTGTACAAAGTCAGTATCTAAATATACACAGATGACCAGTGTGAGACATGCTGTATAACATTATAAACTGTTGAAACAGTTTTGCTTTTTACTGTTATTGTTTCTTGATAAAGGTTTGACCATTTATCTGAATTTTTTATATGTTATGTAATATATTTAGTTAGATTTTAGCTATTTTTGTTTTTATTAGCTAGATAAATGCAATAATTGTCCATGTCAAGTAATTTTGATGCAAACTATCGTTTTATTGTGGACCAATCACTATGACAATAAGACACAGTGCCAACATTACCTGACGAGCAAATTAAAAGTCAACATATAATAAACCTTTTTACAAATGAAGGTCAGACACTGAGCGCCTTCAAGGTTGACTTTTCAAAAACAATTATTGCTCATAAAAAACCCAACATATATTTCCCCCTTCCTAGGGACATTGTAACTGCTTTTAACAAATCCAAACCAAGTTAACAACAGCAAACACTGCACTGTGGACTAACAGTATAGGAAGTGCACCTCATGGCAGACACACCTAAATCTGTGATGAATCACATTAGGAAAAGCAGCCAACTTTTACTCCTCCCTTGCATTAAAGAAGCTGGCAGTTATATGGAGGGAAATGTAAGCATGCTGAATATAATATTAAAATATAACATTAAGTCAAAAATTCTTGACTTGGATAGTCTTAATTATTGGCAGCTAGCAGTCTTTGATTGCAAGCCAATTTCCAGTATTTTCAACAGAAATGAAAACTGGGGACAGAGGGGAGCAGTGCTGCAGAGATGTAACAAAACAAACGAGTAAAGTGAACAATTTTGTTTTGAGGGCTGTATTTTGTAAATTCCATCTTAAAAGTGTTGACCTTAACGGGGATTTGATGACTTCTCTACAGCTGCAGGTTTGTTACCGCTGCATTTGAGGACAAGACTGCAGTTCTACTGTTTACACGTCCGCAGACAGACCCCCACCTCTCTGTCTCTCCACAAAATCACGACTCAAGTTTTAGAAGAGTCGTGAGTTGACAGAAATGTCGCTTTAAAGGCTCGGCCGCGTCTATTTTTAAGAGTTCGCACCTTTAAACCTCCACAGCAGCCACAGCTGAAGTCACTAACCTTTAACAAGAGCCTCTCCGCGACCGGGCGACACTCGCCACACTAACGGTCTCCACAAAGGGTGCTTTAAAAAAGCAGATGTTGCATTCACTGACACAACCAGGGCGCTAGTTCACAGGTCACCACAGGGGACAACATCTGGAAATTAAGTCCGATAAACACACTTTTTTCGGGTGAGTGCGCCTCCGCAGCCTCCCAGTCTCCTCTCCCCCACCTTCCCGACTTGTGTGCACCACAGCCAGGCCCGCAGATGACACAGTATGGAGGCGCCCACAGGAAAATACGGAAAGTTACTCACGGCTACATTCACCTGCAGGCTCGCAGGGCCCGCTGGTCTAAAGGGACCCTAACGGTCACAGTTGGCCGTGTCCCAGTGAAAATACTCGGGAAATCACATCACTCACCTCACCTCTCCACTGTGTTCAAGTCCTCTGTGCTCCGCTCCAGTCTTTCACACTCCTGCCCACCGTTCTCTATCCGCTCGATCCTTCCTCCTCCCCTCCCTCGCAGACCCAGAAGGAGGGAGGCGAGTGACGCTGCTCCGGAAGCAAACGCTCCTTCGTCATTTATTCATGGAAATGTGCCATAACATTGTTCAACTAACCTCAATTGTAATTATTGATATCTACATTTATTTAACATCCATTTATACATTCATCTATGTACCTTAGTATAATTAAGATTCTTTAATGCTTTTATTTTGGACAATGATATGACAATGACAAGTGACATGTATTTTATTCTGCCTATTTGGTTTAGTCCATCCACTTCTGTGCACACGAATATTTTAATGTGTTTTTAACTGCCATAATCTGAGCTGAAATTCAGTGGTAAAATTGTCCCGAGCAAAAAGTTCAAGTCTGATTTTCTGTTAAATTTAGTATCTTAGTTGGAGGCCAGGAGCAAATTACACTAATGGCTGATTTGGCAAAGTATAGCATCACAGAGGCTCTGCTGTGGGGTGCATTTTAGCCAGTGGTGGCGATGATCTCTTAATAATACTGAAAATTAGCAGCAAATCAGAATCTTACGATCTGCCATGGGATTAATCTTACATATCTGTGATTATAATATTATTTCCAAACATGTGAATAACATCTTTTTACAATACTGCCAGTCTACATTAATGTAGACTTGACCACATTTATTGAACAAAACATAAAAACATCAGACAAGCAGCAGACAGCAGCAGACTTGCAAACAAATTGATCACAAAATAACATTGTAAAAATTGCATGATTTGTATGATACGAAACCACTATAGTTATTATCCTGATTCACTGACATTAACAAAGCATTTTCACTTTGTTAAGTGGTTCAGTTTGTAATTTATCTCGTAGGTGCTTTTTGGCAAAGGAAAGGCGAGGCTCTGCACCAGATCAGCATTTCAAAATGTAGGGGTCTGGTAACTTTCAAATGGATCTGGAGACTGTCCAGGTTTTCCGGACCTTTTATAAATCATCTAGTTGTTTGGAATGAGGCGATGTGGATTGCAGTCAGCACAAAAAAAGGCTATATATATATATATTTAAAAGAACTATAAATATGCAGATATTTACTATATATGTTCTTGATTTATTCTAAATTTTAGTGTACATGCTGCGTCACTGTCCTAATTAAATAATCTGGACAGCATCCCCATTTCTTTTGCTTCTCCTGGAATTATGATAGCAAGGAAAAATGCTGCATCGTCTTATAATATACTGCCATCTTGTGGACATTTTTGTGTTTGCATTATTTTTCTCCACTAGTTCACAAAAACTCAGATAGGATTACAAATTAATTATAAGCATATTATAAACAAACTGAAATTAATAAAAAAAGTGCTTCCTCTAACTTTTGCTTTAATTGATTGAATTAAAATAGTCACTTAACAGTCGAGTTGGGGAGTTTATTTTGTTAAATGTATAAATTGTTATATTATTATACTTTTGGTAAAGGTCGGCTTTTTTTATTTAAATAAATGCTTTTACAGGTTAGGCTTCACAGTGGAAAATATGTGTAAACTTCAGATTTACCTTCATTTTGGAAGATCACGAAGTAACTCCATTGCGACACACGGTACCATATTTAATTTAAGTACTACCATCACCTTTATTGTATGTAGAATTAAGACACAACCCCCCGCCCCCCCAAAAAAAATCAGAAACATATGGATCTTAATCTATACAGCCGATTTACAAGCGCTCAAAAGTATTATCGCAACGTGCATTTAATTCAATAGACAATAGCTCCAAACCGTCAGATGGCGCTGTGACTTTCTAGCCTCTCTCTGCTAACCAATCAGCAGCTCGTCCAGCAGTTTGAACAACAAGCGGATGATTCAAACTGGAAAATCATGGGAAGGAATTACTAGTTATATTTGTAACATTAGATTAGATTTAGATTTACGACAAGCGGCTGTTTACTAAAGTTTTCAGTGTCCTTTTGTGGAGGATATTTTTATTTGGAGTCGCTGCTTTAGATTTAATAGCAAGGTTGATAACACCAATGCTTGCGTAATTTAAGTTCGTTTTAGAAGTCGGGCACATTGTCTCGGCCAACACGGCAAAGTTCAGTCATGGAGCCGGCAAAGTCCGTATTTTTGAGGACATACGGGAAACAGATGCGTAGGATTTCCGCGTGGATCTCACCAAAGGACCACAAGAAAGCTTTTGACAGCAGCCTCTCAACAGAAGACGACATCTCCGTCTTTGAACCGCCAGCAAGGCCCGCAAGGAAAAGGTACTTTTTTAAGTTCACGGGTCTAATCACTCGTTGGTCACGTCTTAAATATGAAGTCATTAATTTTATTCAATCCTTACCCTATCAATTAAACTACTAATACCGAACTCCACTGGTAGAGTGTTTACGTCAACGAAAGTCTGATATCGTCTCAGTCCATTTGTTTGTGGTTGTTGCTAATAAGTAAAGTAAATATATCTCAATATATTATCAATTCTAAAAAAAACACAGGGCACTGTTTATAACAACACTTTTAATCACTTGTTAGATCCCATCTAGCCCAAAACAATACATCTCTTATTTTTTAAAAATATCCCGTAATTTAAGAAAAACACTCCTCTCCTCTCCCGTTTTATGATGTGTCAAACAGCGCCCCTCTAAATGTTAAGTTGTAGACATGGTACTGCACCCTTCCCCACGCCTGGCCACTGGTCAAATGGGACTGTGACGGGCCCAAATGTCCACAGGCTCAGCAATTAATGTTCACTTGATAATTTAAACTAATAATATCTAATATAACACATCAGGCAGCCCGAGTCCTTCCCTCAACGCTTCTTTCATCCTATGCTATGATATTTTTATATATCTTACTTCACTGCTCCTTCTGTCATGAACTGTTTTTCTTAAATAGAGAGAAGAGGACCAGTGTGGCATGTCGTAAGTTGGCGCGACCAGCCAAAAAAAAGGCCCTGCTGTGTCTGAGAGAAAAAAGCTTTGATGAAGAAAATGTCATCAGCCCTCCTCCTCATCCTGAGGCAGCTCAGCAGAGCAAAGCTACGAGGTCTGTGGTTAGAAAAACACAGATGGCAACTTGTGTTTGACATAAACATTTAGATATCCAATAAATACACATAGTTAACATGACAAATACTACTTTAAAACATGCACTACATGTGCGTTACATTTGTAGTTCTTTAAAAATATGTTTTTTTTCTATCTTTAATGTGCCTTTTTTCATGATTTTAACCTTTATGTGTTAATGTTGCATTGCATATTTTTCTGAATGATAAGACGAAAGAAGAAAACTTGCAATCGTGCCAGCGTTCTTAATGCCAAGAGGAAAGCTGTGCTACAAGTGATTGAGAACATCAGTGATGAAGAGAACATTAGCCCCTCCCCTCCACGTCCTCAACTGGCTCAGCAGAGCAAGACAACAGGGTCTGTGCATCGGTCTCCTCTATCTCGCCTTTGTGTCCTTCTTTTACACAGAAAGTTAATAAATGAATATTATATATCCAAAACAATAACATAATTTCCTACCAAGAGGATGATGTGAAATTAGTTCAACAAACGAATAAAAATGACCTGGATGATCGAGAACCTACATAGACAGCGTCTGTCCTTTTCCTGCTTCTCTGTATTTTTGACTATTTCTATCTTTGTGTATGTCAACAGGAAAAGCCAACCTGAATCTTCGAGGGGAGTTTTGTCAAAAAGGACTAAAAGAGGCTCAACGGTTAATGCCAAAATAAATAATAAAGAAACGTCATTCGAAAAAAAGAAGCCTTCTGAGTAAGTACTGATTGTGCTGTATTGTCATAACCAAACACACTTTTTGCAGGTGTCAGGACACAATCTGACTCACTTGTAAAGCTATCATAATCAGAAAGAGCCTACTCAGATTTTTGTGGACTTCTAGAGTCTGACTTGGATGTTAGTACCAGTTTAGGAAGAAATATAATATAATATACTGTAAGTCATGAAATGAGTTGGACAAGGTTCTTTTTCTGATCTTAATTTACAGGTCAGTTCAGCCTGGTATTCTGTTAATGTGTAACCCTCTTTTCTCCTTCTTTTCTACACTCAGCGTTCACTTCGATGGACGGTTTGTAACCTGCCGCAACCATCAGACTGAGACTGTTGCCAAATCTACAATACCTAAAGCAATTGAAAGTATATTCAACTCTTCAGATGACTTTACTTCCCGGCAGTATGACCATGTTCGTACCACCCAGACATCTACTACGACAAGGCAGAGGATCCCATCTTCCTTCTTGGTGTCAACTGTAGAGAAATCAAAAACTTCTACAGGGATCACAAGCTTTGCCAATGACCCACCACAAGAGATTTCCCTGAATGAATCTGGGCAGAACAGACTCAGAAAATTCACTGATAACCCCATTTTTTGCTCAACTCCCTCAGCAGGGTCACTCTGTAGTCGACCCGCTTTCAAATCCTTCTCCATTATCGACAAATCAGTCACTCCTCCGTCCAGTGTTCTGAGCCCATTCCAAGTACAACAAGACTCACATAAGCAACCTGTCTCCCCACCAATTCTTTCAACATCCATTGGATTGAAGTCTAGTCCTGGTGAACAAGCACCACCGCTGCCTCACTACAAAGAACTATCTTGTGACCTATTCATGGATTACAAAAGCACCAACCAGAAAAGCAGCAGTAGTGGTGAGGATAAAAATTATAGAGAGGACATCAAGATCAACAATGATGAGACATTGCCAAGTGTAATAATTGTGTCCATAGACAGTGAAAGCAGCAGTGACCATGTTTCAGCAGCAAAGAAAGAAAAATGTTTGACTAATCATTGCACGGTGCAGCTGCAGAGACTGGAAACCCTCAATGTGACTCTTGGTCAGACGATATATTCAACCTGTTTGGGACTTTCTGGCCACAGCCCATTGTCATCGTCTGCGAAGCACATTCAAACGGCATCATTTTATTCCACCGTATTCATGCCAAATACGAACACAGGTGGCAATTCAGAGTTGTTGAATGATATTGAGTCTGTTGGACAAGCAGCCCTTCCGAAAGATCATTCAGCATCAGAGGAGTCCATGCAGTCAGCTGCCTGTCATAGAGACACAAGCGTTAATTCTGTAACCAGCCCACAAATTCCAGCCAGCAGTTTGAACACGGTGTCAACAGAAGTGTTGACTGTACAGCTGGAAGACAAGTGGCTTTTGAAGAAATGCAGTGTTCCTCTCAAAAGGTTAGATTTTTCAGAACTGGCTTTTGGGCATCTTAATGGGAAAGAAGCTCATTTGTCCCACAACGACAGATCTGTTGAACCTGACGTAGACGAGTCTCATTATGACACACTTGACCCAAACAACACACAAAGCCTTTCGTGTTCAAATGAAGAAAGCAAGGTGATGTCTCTCAGTCCTTCAGTAGTTTTAATAACTAACAGCCAGAAAACTGAAGAAGCATCAGCAGGGCTCACAGCAATACTAAAAGAAAGCTGTATATCACGCCAATTCAAAGTAGACCTAAAGAGACTGTCTCTATCTCAGCTAAAAGGTGACACAAAGAAAAAAGCTGACAAACTAGTCTCAAAATCTGCAGGAGATGAACAGAGTTCCCACCAGTCTGACAGTGACCATGACCGTCACAAAGACGTTTCCATTAACATCAAAAGGAAAATTCTAAGATCCACGAGTTCTGAAGACAACACTTCCTCAGACAGCAAAATGACTAAGATCCCCTGTGATGTTCTACCCAAGAGGAGAAAGACATCCTCTGGTCCTAAAGAAAAGAAGAGAAAAGGCATGTCCAAGGACCGATCAGGGACAACAAGGAAGGCATGTGTGAGCGGTTTGAGTGTGAGTCGGTGGAAGAACAACAGCAGTATCAGCAAGCGCCCATGGGGGGGCAATACCAGCACAATGGACTGCAGCATGAATGAGCTCATCAGCATAAAATACAAACCAAAGGTGAGCGTTACACATAATTACACCATGTCACTACAGCTGTGGGAATAAGTTGAGATGTTACTTAAATTATACCAACTTTTTAATTATTGTATGTAGTGCTGCCATTTGTCTGATGAAAAAGAAACAATAATTTCTACACATCAACATGGATGTAAAGCTCTTCATCAAGGTTTCCATCATATCTATCAATGCATCAAAATGGCATGTTTACCTCATGTATTTAGATAACTCGCAAACATTTTTGTGGCAGCAGTTAGGAGGTATTTTAACATTTTAACATAAATTGCAAAAAATTACGTGACGATATGTGTCTGTGTTTGCAGGACTCGGAGGTATTTTAACATTTTAACATAAATCGCAAAAAATGACTGTTCTGAATTCGGGCATCACTGACCATCTGTGGTATGTGTCTGTGTTTGCAGGACTGTGGAATCATGAATTTTTCAACCCCTGCAAGGACGAATCAACACAACATTTCATCTCTGCTGGCTAACCTCACGCCAAACACAAACACCTGGAGTCGACTCAAGGCCGCCCTCTCTGTCCATCGCAAAGGCATGTTTACTACATCAAATATTCACTTCTCTCCTTGATTTGGCTGTGAGTGCTTTTGTCTCTTTGTTCTAATCTAATGGTGTTGTTTTTTTGGTTTTCTTTTTCTGATTATTCACCTATCGCAGTGCTGCTCTCTCCAATGAATCTTCATCTGTCTGACACTCAAAGGACGACTGTAGCAGACGTCAGCCTGGATCTGTTTGCCACACCATTGAAGTCCCTGCTGCCCAAAGCCCCCCAGTCGCAGCAAAAACAGAAATCAATGGTACGACACAGTTCACCTCTGTTACTATAAAACCTCCCTCAGACTTGAAGGACATAAGGACAGTAAAGTCCACTGTCTTAGCTCTGACAATGTGTGTCAGCTGTTTCACAGTAATATTTGTCTGCTCAAATTAAACACAGCAAGTTCAATGTAACTCCAGTAAGGTAATAATATATTTGTCCTGTTTTTCTCTTTCTGTCTTTTCTTTCAGCTGTGTGGGGACACAGACTTGTCAGATGCAGAGAAGGTTTACTCTGAGTGCAGCCAGGAGCAACCACTGGCCTGGGAGGATTGTATCCTCCCTCACAGAATGAATCATTGTGTTAAGATCGGAGAGGGTACCTTCGGTGAGGTCTTCTCCACCATCAATGAGTTTGGAGACAAAGTCGCCCTCAAAGTGAGTGTCAGAAGTGTAGCATTGTACTTTCAAATGCTATGAAATCCCTTCTGATAATTAAAAAAAAAAAGAATGTTAGAAATGTTGTTCCTCTGTAAACCCAGGGCTTACTGTATATCTTCACAGGTTATTCCGATAGAGGGCACTGAGAAGGTCAACGGAGAAGACCAGAAGACTTTTGGAGAGATTCTTCACGAGATTATAATCTCAAAGTATGAGATGCAAAAAATCACAAAGACAATCAGAGTCTGACTCTTTCTGTTTGATACCTGCTCTGTACTAATAAAAATATCTGTGTTTTGACAGGGAGCTGAGCTGCCTGAAAGACAAGAAAAACAACCAGACTCATGGCTTTATTGGACTTCATGAGTAAGCACCATCTCCTCTGAGTCTATCTGCTGCTGCCTGGGTAGCTGTTTTAAGCCTTGACCTGATTGCAAAATATATTGTCACTCCACAGCCTCCACTGCGTTCAAGGTTGTTACCCTCGTCATTTCCTCAACGCTTGGGACAAATTTGACCAAAAGAGAGGCTCAGAGAATGACAGACCAGGTCAGTGACAACATGAGATGAATCAGCATTTGCTTCACATTTGTTTTTCCAAAACATTTTCAACATGGCTAAGTAGGTTTCTTTCTATGTTCTGCTCAGATTTCTTTGAAAATGATCAGTTATTCTTAATCCTGGAGTTCGAGTTTGGAGGGGTCGATTTGGAAAACAGCAATGGAACGGTAGGCATGTGTATTCCTCACTTTACCATTGGTTTTGTCCAAAAGAAAAAGTAGTTGTGACAGACCTAGTCATGATGACTTGTCACAAGGCAAAACGTCTAAATGACCTAGGTTCTTTAAATGTTTTTTTCCATAATTGAGACAGTTAGGTCCTAAAATTAATTTGTACATCTCTTGTAATGTCCAGCTCGCATCTCTGGGGGTGGCAAAGAGCATCCTTCACCAAGTCACTGCTGCCTTAGCTGTCGCTGAGCAGGAGTTGCACTTTGAACACAGGTAGGTCACTAACAGACTCCTGCCTCTAACAGACTTTTTTTTAAACATATTCACTTTCTTCTCATTCACATTTTGCTACAGCATAGATGTGAGGATGTGTTGTCATCTGTTGACATCTTAATTTCTCTCTGCTGTTTACTGCAGGGACCTCCATTGGGGAAATATCCTGGTCAAAGCTACTAAACAGAAGACGGGGAGCTTCATGCTAAATGGAGAAGCTCACTCTGTGGAAACCCAAGGGGTTCTGGTCCGCATCATTGATAATTCTCTCTCCAGATTAGAAATTGGTCAGATCATTTTTCTCTACATTATCATGTTTTCAGTGTGGCTTAATTTGTGCTAATTTTACTGTACATTGAATTGATTTAGCATTGAATATTCTGACACGTTTTCTTGGTCTGCAGATAACCTGACTGTATCCTGTGACATCTCGCATGATGAGGAGCTCTTCATGGGCCAAGGAGATTACCAGTTTGAAATATACAGACTGATGAGACAGGAGAATGGGTCAGTGGCTACTTAGGACTAGTGTTGGACTTTCACCCAGTGCACAAACAGAGCACTTTAATAAGACTAGAGGATGACTGTAGATCACTCACTTTACATTGAAAATGCTTTTAAGTTTTGCACAAATATTGCAATTGTTTTGGTTAACTCAAATTAATATTACACTTTTTTTCATTACCCTCTTTCTTCTGGTTTTAGAAACAACTGGAGTGACTACCATCCACACACCAACGTGCTGTGGCTACACTACCTGTGCTCCAAGCTGCTTTCCATGAAGTACAAAAGAGGAGTGAGAGGAGTCAAGGAGGTGCGAGTGGAACTCACTAATTTATATGACAACATCCTGGATTACAGTTCTGCCACAGAGGTGCTGAGAAACTGCCCCTTGTTTCAGTAAAGCTGCGTGAAGATTTTTTTTTTTTTTTTTTAGCCTGATCTGTACTGTATAAAGACACTTATCCATTACCTTGTCACACAAAGACAGCCATGAAGGTCGCATGGTAGTTACTGTGTAACTTTCATCTGACAGTTTCATTAAAAACCATGTTGAACATGTCGTTGATGTTCATTTTGTCTTAGGCACCATGTCATTGTCACCTATTACTATTATTATAATAATTATTTATATATTAGAAGTACGTTCTAAATAAAATCTTGTGAATGTTTAACACCAAATTGTTTTGGGCTCAGTATCAGCAATGCATTTTTCTTGTAGGTGAGTAATAAAAAAATTAAAAGTATTTAACTGTCAAGAAAATTACCAAATGTCCAAGCAGTTGTAGATTTAATGTTAGAGTATATACAGTACCATCCAGAACGTTCCATGAAGTTTGTAAGAAAATTAAATGAATTACTCGTCATTGTGACACTGCATACAACAAAATGTTTGAACGTGGCTGAACAAAATTAAAAGCATAACTTTGACAGCTTAAATTAAGTTCCATTAAGGCTTCTAACAACTACATACTACAAGCAGCATTGTGGTCTAAGCTGTAGGTTGGTTTTCAACCCTCAGACTTTGTACAATAAAAAATACAGTAGCTTTTTAACACGAAATACCGCAGCTTATGTTTTAGTGCTTTAAAAAAATGTTCAGTATCTCATGTAGCTTCATTTTATCACCTGCAGGGGGTTCTGTAAACCAAGTTAGGTATCCTAGTCAATTAACTTTTTTCACACCAATTTTTCATTGGGCTGCCGTGTTTCTCACCTATGCTTTCAATGGCGTCCAACCTAAACAAATCCACATCCTGATAACTGCTTATAGCCATACAAATCATCCACATTATCGGAAATTTAGTCTAAGGAGTCGTTATATCCCTGATATCCTCACAGTTCAGCGACATAATGTACACCAAAAACACCATTAATAACATAAAACAATTACAACATTATTTAAAAAAAATGTACTCACCAAACGTCTGAGTATTTGTACACAAAGTCCATCTTCCTCTTTCCTAAAGAAGAGTTCAATTACAGTTCTTACAACAAGTCCTTTTGTATCGTCCTCCATGTTGATATTTAGTCCCGTTTGTCCGTATTTATGGCTTTAGTTTTAATTCGCTTTAGGCTGAGAATGTTAGCTCGACAGTGGAAGCAGAGAAAACTGAAATATCGAACGTCTAAATCGCTACCTGCAACTTGTAGTTTCGAAACGGTGTTCTTTGACTATCCAATCAAATCGCTCAAATCGTCGACGCAAAAATAGGCCGGCTAAGAGGCCTTGTTGTCGCCAACACTGGTCTGATTGGTTAGAGAAACAATCTCATTACCATTCATTTAGGATCCCAGTATCCACACTACTGATTGTGAAGGCCTTAGGGCAGATTTCATTCACCCTGGCAACAGATGAGACTGAAATATGATTGGATAAAAACTTTAGTCTAGGCAACCAAGAGAAAAGCTGAGAACGAGAGAAAAAAATGAAAAACCACAAACAATATTATATGTAGTACTACCTAAAATTAAAGTGTTATATTTTATATATACTGTGTAGCTCGTTTGGTCATTTAGGCAGCTCACAGCCTACTAATGACAGAATCACATTTGTTATCAAGGGGTCCCTCACCTTGTCATTGGGGTTTAACAGCAACTCTGCATTGCTGTCAGCTATTGAGTCTTCACCTACTGGAAAGTTTTACATTTCTAACAGAAACAAGTCATCCTAATGAAAAGAGTATACTGGGCAGTGTAGACTTTTACATTACGTGCTCTCCATATTAGGTTCACTCATGACCTTTGCATTAAGGACTGCACATTTACTGACCTTTAAAATTTGTGCTGTACATATTATGTACTATGATATTACTGACCTTTTCATTAGGGTGCTGTACATATTGGGTACTGTACGACTCTCCAGTCAGCCGCTGGTCCCTGGGTAGAAATAGGTCAGGAGAAGTGACAAGGCTGGTTCAAGTTGATAACAAATGCGACAGTAACTCAGTAACCATTGAATTTACATCTGGATGCAGTTGGACTGCATTGGCAGAAGACTGTGCAGACACTTAGACTAAAATTTTAATGCTCACTTTAGCAAGATAACAAGATTTGAAAACTGCCGCCCAGTCTGTGCACTCCACTAATTTGTGCAACAATATTATAATGGCAGGGCCAGAACCTGATGTAAATGACTAAAACCACTGACGGTTAGCTGCAGTTAACGGTTAGCAGTTAAACTAATTTTCAATGGTGTAATACACAGAAAAGGCAGTTACAAAAACAAAATATTTTATTCAAGTCGTTCATTGAGATTAATATACATTTTTGCATTAAAACAAGCTTCATTTTGGTAGTGTATGCAGTGTGTGTCTGTCTTCAGGTGGATCTTGGTTGAATATGCTTCAATACTCAAGGACACACCTGGTTGTTGACTCAAAGAAATGTACATTTGCCTGAAACAACTTAAATCTGGAGAAGACGGCATTAAGAAAGGAAGACTGCTTTAAAAACAGGACAAACAAACAAAAACACGTAGTCATTCCAAAGTTTACAAAGAAGATCTGACAGGCCCGCGTTCTGAGTCGAGGTCAGGCATGTGTTTGAGAAGCACTTTTTGGTTGAGCTTTGAGGCAATGTTTGAGAGATGGCTGTGCTGGTGATGAGCCCATACGTTCATGTTGTGTGTGTGTGTGTGTGAGAGAGAGAGAGAGAGAGAGAGAAGCAAACGTGTGTATAAGAAGCAATGGACTGTTTATGAAATGAACTTGAAATTTCTGTGTCTTTGTGAGTTTGTTTTATAGACCATATATAAGAAATGGATGTAGCCAACTTACTGAAAAAAGGAAGACTTAGAAGAAGCGCTGTGGTTCTGGAAGAAACTATTTATCAGTGTGGCTGTAGCTCTGCCCAAAAGCAAGTTTGAACAAATACAACAGTCTAAGATTATCACTAGACGATCTCCTCCCAAAACACATTTACATTTGAAGTTACAGAAGGGGTCTCCAGCTGATTTTACCACAAAAGATTTTTTGTGCTCCTGTCCTAACCCTAACCCTGGTTTCTGCTTTAGGCACTGTTCCAAATGACAAGTTGTACAACAAGACTATAGTAGAAAGTTGTAGGCCTTAAAATTCTCTGAAATCTGTCACTCCTCACCAGATTCGGTGCTGTTTAGTTAGTTAGCAGAACAGTTAGCGTGCAAGCAAACAAAGAAAACTTGCCTCATAGGCATAAGAGTTATGTTAAATTGTGATTAGAGTGCCCTCTGCTGGAGCACACGGGATTGTCTTGGTATTTTGACAAATTCGGCATGACAAAATGTGTGACAACCACAGATATGGTGAAAAGAAAATTCTGGAACTTGCAAACAATATGGTGCGCACAAAATAACAACAGCAGGATTGTGCAACATGATAGGCAGTGGTTGCGATGCTATATTTTGAGTCCCTCTTAGTGTAAATGTGCTGTTGTGCACCCTCTGCTGGAGCAGGCAGTGACTGCTACAGAATCTCTGAGACGCCAAAAAAAGGTTTTAAACCACAAGTTCTAACTTTAACTTTGTGTTTGAAACCAGACGACTGCTGACAGCTCCAGTATGTACCACAGGTCTAAGGAAAATGCTTCTCACTCAGTCTAGAATGTCACAAAACACTTTCCGTAAAAGTTAATGGCAGGAACGCTGAGGTTGGCTTTTTTTAACAAAAATATTAATGCCTCAAATTTATAGAATTGTGCTTATTGTTTACCATTTATTACCCTCTTGTACTTGCCCTTAAATTGTTCAACAGAGTGATGAACGTTTTGGTCTCATGCTTTTATGTCTTTAAACATTCTGCTTTAAATAAGAGTTTCTTCAATGTGCAAATATATGAAAAAAAAGTTCTGTGGCTGCTGTGAATGTTAGGGATTGAAAGGGTTAAAATCACATTTAAACAGACATTCAGTCTTTATTCAGACACAGTTCCACTGTGACACTGATATTTTTAGAACAACGCCAACTCTCCTGATTAGCTGCCTGCAGGCTGCCTGAGGCTCCAGGGCACAATTTTGGTGAGTAGTTTACAATCTCAGTTGCTATGTTAACATTTATTTTAGTGAAACATTTGTGTTAATGTCGCGAATGATCTCACCTTTTAGAGGAAAACAGGCGCTAAAGTAAAAAACAGCCCGACAGTCTGGTGATCTGCAGCACGGCCAGAGGAGACGTTTGCTAATCTCTGGGTATAAAACTGAACGAATGGCTACATCCATTTCTATGATACGGTCTGTGCTTTGTTTGTGTTTTTGTGTGTTTGTGCTCAGAAGGAGAAGTATTTGGTGAACCACTCCTGCTTCAGCCCCTCTGTCCCCCTGGGCTCCAGATATGGACCCCTGAAACACAAAAGATACAGACAGGAAATCTATTATATTGCTGAGTGTAAATGCTTAAAAGGTTTTCAAAGTTTCATATTAGAAAAGGTTTTGAATTTAATGCAAACATAAGATCGTTTAAATAGGAAAGTTGCTTGATTTAATTTGTAGAAATGTGCTACAAGTATGCTCATTTCTTTGTACCCTGCAGTTGCATCTGTTCACAGCCAAGATATTAAAAGTTCATACCTCATCGAGTGAGCCTGCAGGTATGCGTGGGGCTCCTGGCAGGAGGGGGACACGTATCGGATGCCCGTCTGTGGTGATGGGCAGACGGGGAGTGGAGCTGTGGGTGCTGGGGTTGGAGGGATGCAGGAGGTCCTTGATCTGTTGGAGCGAGGGAATGAAGGGGAGGAATGTTGGCCAAGAGAGAGGGAGGTGTGCTTGTGTGGAAGAGAGGAGGTGGAGTAGTGCGGGGAGGTCTGTGGGTGAGAGGAAGACGGGTGGGGAAGGGTGGAGGAGTGTTGATGGACGTTGGAGGAGGAGGAAGAAGACGATGACGAAGAGGGAGGTTGGAAGATGCTCTTGTCGAAAAGTCCAGCACTGGTGACGCGAGGAGGCGACTCCCCCAGCTTCCTCTGTCAGAAGGCAAAATGAAAAGGAGAAGGGGGTGAGACTTCAGTCAGCTTTAGAGTCTTACTGAATTTCCTAGAGATGAAAATCCATTAATTAACTTAATGAACTAAATCAGTCATAAGAGACCAATCAGGAATTTTAGTTCGGGTCACTTGATCTGTGTTTGTCCATTGTCTATTACTGTGACTGAGCAACAGCACAGCTTCATACTGTACACCTGTTAATGTTGCCTCAGGAAACAAACTTTAGCCATTGAAAAAAAAAGAATATCTGAAAAATATGTATTAATTGTCATTTTTATTTTATTTTCTCCTCTCTTTTGATTTCTTCCTGATCTTCCTTTCTTAATCAATTTGTTCTTCTTTCCTTCATTCACTCATCCCTCATTTTTTAAATTTATCTCCTTTCTTCCTTCTTTTTCTGACAGAAATCATCTTATCAGTACAAACACCATTTAGAAACTAAAAATGCCACTCTCTAAACGGCTCTATCACCATTACTATCAAGTCCCTGCACAGAGGCATGTTTTAAAAGAGAAAATCGAAAAAAAGACCAATAGTGATCCTTGTCAAACAGCTGTCCCTGAGTTCAACTGTGGAATAAAAAACAATAATAAGTCAGTATTCCTCTGACCTGACACGTCATGATGGATGCAGCTTTCTGACAAACATCATCCGTCAAAGTGCAGTGACTCAGGGCAGCTGCGGACCAGCCATTCCTCCTGGTCAGAAGTTATCTAGATTTTAATGAAGGCGCCGTGTATTGGAGCTGCGCAGATGAACTCACCCTCATGGTCGGTGTGACGCTCCCAGGGCGGGTCTTGCTGTCACGGGGCCTGAGGGTGCTGCTGTCCCCGGAAACAGGAGGGTGGAGCTGCAGCTGATGCCTCTCCTCCTGGAGGAAAAGAGGACAAGGAAGGACTTTCAGTGGCCTCATTCACAGTCAGTGAAGCTGCGTACGAGCGGTGTCTGGAGGCTGATGCTACTACCATCAACACAGATGGTAAAAACAGCACTGTGTCCAAGGACGTCTGGTGATTTCTGTGGCTGTTTGGTCCTCAACAAAACCAAATGATATCAACCAGAACTGAGGCAGCAGCAACGAGGAAAGAGTCATCAGTCACACGTGTCAGAGTCAAAGAAGAATGAGTTAGGAGAGGGTTATTTTAGCTGCAGAACTTTTAGCCTCTGGGTGTTTTTTAGCCATTAACAGCTCTGTTTTGCCTGTTCCTACTTAAAAAAAAAAAAACACTTCCTCTGCACTGAGAGAAAAAAAATACTGCAACAAAACACATGATCTGACTCAATTTAGGGAAAGTATTTCTCAAATGCAAAAGTGACAAATCAGCACACTGTCTCTGCTCAGTTTCCTTCACATAAATTAACTCTCCCGCTGCTTTCAAACAGGCTCTGAACTAAAAACACCAGTTAATGAGCTGGGGATGTGTGTGGAGGTCACCCTCTACCCACATACTCTATGAGCAGGGCTATGGTTGTTCTAATACTGAGTACTACAAACCAACAGGAGCACAAATATGTCCTCACTGATACCAGTAACCGTCACCAATACTTCTTTAGGCCGGGCCTAACTACATGAATCAAATCATTCTGTATTAAATTTAAAAAAAATCTTTAACCGACACTGTCATCAGAATATATGGATACAATTAAGGACAAAATGAATCCAAATAATAAATAAAAGTTAAAGATTTAGTTAAACATTAGCGTTCTAAACATCAGTGTCTTGCTCCTGTCTCTGTTCCTCCAAACTGCTGACAATGTTGACCTACTTAAATAAACTACCCATGAGGACGGTGATACACTGAACTGCAGTATGAAAACACATTTCACTGGTTGACCCACGTGATACTGAGAGTATTGTGTCGTTGGGTCTGTGTGTTGATACCGATACGGGTATTGGTATTGACATTTGAATTTACAGCCAAGAACCAACCAGGAAATAGTCAGAGTGAGTTTTCATTTCTGTGAAAAAAAAATAAGAAGAAGAATAAGTGTTGACTGATGAAATAAAACCACTGTTAACACTGTACACATTGTTAACCCAGGCTTCCTGTATATCTACTGAGTTCCTGGTACCGTTTGTATCATAGAACGATTTATGATCCATGACATTTATTCCATAATTGCGGCTGTTCACAAGTTAAGTGAAATAAATATTTACATAAAAACATCACAATGCGGTCTGTGTTTGTTTCATCGTCTTCTTCAAACCCCAGGGAATACAGGACATTTGGCTTCACTTCAAACATGTAAAAAAAAATCTGAAACGAGGAAGATCAAAGATTTCCTAGACTGAAGGTCAACAATCGCACTGATGTTGACTGTTCTGAACGTGGATGTTTCTGGAGTAACATTTTTGGCAGGTGAAAAGGTGTTTTTTTTTTCTCACCACTAGTCGTTTAATGAGCTGGTCTCTCTCACTCAGTCTCTCCTGGAGACGGCCCAGCTGCAGGTCATCACATCGAGGCTCCCTCCTCCTGCAGCGCTCCTCCCGCTCACGCAGCCTGCAGTTAAATCAAATACACAAACACACACAAGCTTTCTCACATACCTGCACTTTATTTAAAGAAACAACTGTAGAGGTGGCCGACTGGCTGGTTGGTAAAACTGGGAGAGCACAGTGAATGGGATTAGAAAAATTAGGATTTTTTCTTAGATGGCACATCTGGGTCTTGGGCCACCCCTACAGCGCCTGACCGGTACAGGTTCAATTTAAATAAGAATGTGTGTGTGATATAAGCTTGAAATATTATTATTATTGTGTTTGGTTATTTGCGTGTCCTTAACTCACTCGTTCTCCAGGGCCACAATCCGAGCCTGCAGGTGCGACTGTGCGCTGCTGTACTCAGAGACCAAACTCTGCATCTCCCGTTTGTGCTCCCTCCTAATCTCCTCCACTTCCTCCTTCCTCTTCTCTTCCTCCCGCTCCTTCCTCTTCTCCTCGTCCAACTCTTCCTCTTTGATGTCCTCCTCTTTCCTCTCCTCCCAGTGTTTCTGTGACTCCTCCAGTTTCTCCATCTCCACCCTCAGTTTCTCCACTTCCTCCTTCAGACGTTGTGCTTCTTCTTCGAGCTGAGCGTCTCGCTTCTTTCTCAGCTCTGTCATTTCCTCTTCTTTCTCTTCTGCCTCTGGATTTTTTTGCGCGGTTCTGAAAAAAAAACAGCACGAGACAGATGCAGGGTAATGTGCCACAGAGTGGGGATAATGGAAATAATGGATTGTTTGTTACATCAATGGTCATTAAAGACTTTAAACTGAGGCAGATTTGCTGTTAGCCTAAACACAGCCCTGACTATTTGTCAATTTCACATTTATTTACGATTTTTTTTGGTTTGTCCTGGTACAGATTCATGATGCAGTACTTTCTGTGTCTTCTATTTTTCTTCATAATTTCTGAATAAAACAAGGATTAATCACAAAATGCTATCTGACTTCTTCAAATGAATACATAAACTAATACATAATCATGTATATTTGCTGATTCACTGATTTTTGTTAAGAACAGCCTGATCCTTGTGATTTATCATTTCCGTACATTTTTATCAAATAAATCATCATGATAATCTCTGTCACATTCCCAAATACCACTAAAGGTAAATCTTCTTTCTCATCATCTTTGTTCTTTACTTTTCCTTTAACTGTTTCTTCAGCGTTGCATTTTCTCTTTGGAGCTCCTGGATGGCACAGCGGCTCTCATCCAGCTGTCGCTCAAACACCTGGTGCTGGTTCTGCTGCTTCAAGTCCTGCATACAAAACACACACTACATGCACTCACATCCTCATAGGACGTCTACGTAGACTGTTCTGGAATGTATTTATTTTTAATCCCCAGTTCTATTGAACAACAGGCAGTAGGATAAGGATTGTGTACAAGAAATACTCCACAATTACTCAAATATGTCAGTGTGTGTGTGTGTGTGTCAGTCACCTGTTGCAGGGCCATCATCTGGGTGTGTGCCTGCAGCTGGGCCTGGAGGTCTTCTATCTGCTGCATGTGTCTCTGGGTCATTTGTCTGCTCCACTCTGTGTGCTGTTGGTTCAACTCTGCACGCTGTTTTTCTGGAATAACACACAACACACAAACACACACACACACACACACACACACACACACAGAGACACACAGACCGCAGACAAGTTCTGAATAAAGAGTAGTCTGGGAGACGAGGTAGGAAGGCAGTGATGGAGAGTCATGGGAAGGAAACAAAATCACTTGGCACACTGTTACAGGTACCCTTCTGCTGTTGCCATGGTGAATTGTATCCATGGCAATAGAAGGGGTTCACTGTAGAATTTATAATCCCCATGTGAATATCAGTGTGTGTGTGTGTGTTTGTGTGAAGAGGTGTGAGGTTTGTATGAATATGCCCGTGACGCCGGATAAATATGAGTGAAGGATTCAAGTGTCCGAGGGAGTTCACGTCTTACTTTTGACGAAGGACAAGGCTTCACCCTGGACAGGCCGCCTTTTAATATCATAGTATTCATGTATAATGTAGGCTTCACATTCACAGCTGTGTGTAGTACAGTGTAAAGTCTCCAGCTGACCTCATCTCAAACCTCCATGTTATTGGACTGAAGGAAGAAACCTGAGCACCTGCAGAAAATCAATGCACGCACAGGAAGAACGTGTAAACTCTCCACGGAAGGACCATGTGCTGCAGCCGGAATGGAAACCTTTGACATTTCTTGTGGTAAGGCAACACCACCATACCGGTTTGTGTAAACTGTATTGGCCTTTTCGTTATATTCCAAATTTAAATTTAAATGCAATGATTAAAATTAAACAATAAAAAGAAGAAGACTAAGAAAAAGAAGTAGAAGAAGAGGATGAAGAAGAGGAACATAACGGAGTGTTGAGCATTTTTCTTCTTCGTCTGCCCTCACCTTCTGTGGTCCACCTTAAATACAGTGTAAGGTTTCCTATCATTTATAAGAGGCTGTGTCTGGAGCCATTAGTCATCCACATTAGGAGGGACAGGTTCAGGTGGTATAATGGTAATCTAGGTCAGGTTGCCTCATGGATGGCTCCTCTGGAGGCCTCCCCATCTGGGAGGAGGCCCCAGGCCAGACCAGGGACACACTGGAGATTTAGGACACATTCCCACGGTGAGAAACGATGAGTAAAGAAAGAAAAGAAAACCTGGAATTCTCTGCTGTGACCACTGCCTGGACCAGTGGAAGAAGAAAAAAAGACTAGAAAAATGAAGGGAAGGGTTCTTGAAGGAATAATGATGTCAGTCACTTCTGAGTGATGTTAGCTTTGGGTTAGTATTCGTCATCCTTCCTGTCTTCAGCTGAAATAAATCCACTGTTAATCTGTACTCTAACTAACACTGGTAACTATGATAATATATGTACACAGGAAGTGTAGCTGCGCTAGAACAAACTTAAGCAACTCTTAGCTGGTAAATCTTATGAAAGCTCAAAAGAAGGAGCTGACATCCATCTTCAGACTGGGGGAGTGCCACAGAAAACAATTACTTTGTGTGTGTGTGGTACCTAGCTCCAGGTGGTGCATTGTCTGCAGTCTGTTCCTCTCTGACAGCAGATCTTCTTTGGCCTGTCTCTCTAACGTCTGCAGAGCCACGGCGTGACTGTGTCTCTCCTCAGTCAAACACTGACTTTGAGGCTCCTTCATTTGGACAGACACACGTTTCTAATTGACATTTTGTTCAAGTCAAATGATTTATTTCTTTTATTTTTATTATGTTGATTCTTTTTACACGAACAAACAAAGTGGTGTCAAATATTCAGTCACTGAGAAAGACCAGGAAGAGAGCACATGTACCTGCAGCAGATCCCTCAGCTTCTTGTTTATCTCCTTCGTGTCCTGGACCTCCTTCCTCAGCCTATCAATTTCAGGGTTGCCGTGGCTGTCATCATTCTGCCCCTCCTTCTTCTGCTCCTCCTGCAATAGTATAAGTTTGTGACTGTGCAATTCAAAGGCCCCGTGGTCCAAGACGACTGTGGCCTCTCACCTGGGTCAGCTGACCCTGCAGCTCAGAGATCTGAGTCTGCAGCTCCTGCTCTCGTGTTTGCCATCTCTGTTCACTCTCAGCGACAGCAGCGTTCATCTCTATCCTGAACTCTGCTCTGAGCTGATCCTCACACTCTGCCCTGCAGGGTGCAGCACAAACAATGGGAGGCAGCATTAATACACTGTACATGTGAAACATTTAGGCCACAGGTGTCAAACCCGTGGGCCAGATCTGGCCCCTGGTGTAATTATATTTCACCCGCGAGATCATATCACATGTGTATTAGAGCTGTTATATAGCCACTATATGGCAGGATTTGTAGTATTAGCAATGTATGCACAATGTATGAACTCTAGGCTAGAGCTAGAGAGAGACAAATACCACTGATGTGTGTTTTATTTCAATTTTTTTTTTTCATGTGTTCATAATATAAAGCTTTGTTTGTTCTAGATTTATCGTGAAGCAAAACTAAAGTTTGTTTCCATATGAAAAAATTCTACATTACATATTTGGAGAGAATGGAAAACATTCACATTTCCTGTCAGCCTTTGGTAAATGCTACCTTTATTAGACATAAGTCAAAACGCTTCTTATGAAACGTATCGTTTTAGTCTGATTTTGCTGATAAAGGCTGAATACATCCCAGCATTGATGGAGAGAAGGCTGGGCTTATTTAGGGCAAGGGTCACCAACATATGAGTCTTCTTTAACCCTACTTTAGAAAATGTTCATTTTTCTTGTTAGGTTGATTTAATTTTTCGTCATTTTGACTTGCACATGCACACCGTGTTTGGATACAGCTTATTTTAATAAAGCCGAGACAAATCGAAGCCAAAAACAGAAAGTGCTGTGGGATGTTTTGAGCCTCAGTTTGAATGGTTTGTTTCTCAGCTTTGATTTTCCCTAATGCTCTTTTAAGCTGTGGGCAGAGCAGATCACAAGCAGAGTCAAGACTCCGTAATGTCAGCCTAAGCAGTTTTGGCAGGCTGCTGTTCATTTAGGTACCTGATCCGTTCCTCAGAGTGCCGCTGGCTCTGATCGAGAAGACTTCTCTCCGTGTTCAGTCGGCTCTGTTCCAGGACTTTCTCTTCCAGCCGATGTTTGTCAGCTCTTAAGGATGCAATATCTCTAAGCTGTCTGTCTTTCTGCCTCTCTGCCTCCTCCTGTGTCCGTGCCAGTCGACTGCGGGTCTGATGGAGCTCTTCTTCCAGACGGGAGCAGTGTGGTCCACATGACGGTACAGCCTCAGGCACCGCCTTCTCTTTGTTCTCCCGTTGTTGTACAACCGACTCCAGACGACAAACCTGGAAACACAGAAATATATCTCACCGACATCACGCAGCACACATTTCACTGTGGGTTTGAGGCGTGAACACAGGTTGACCTCTGACCTCATTGGTAGAGCCTTTCAGCTTTGTTCTCAGCTCCTCTATTTCCTTTTCCAGCCCACAGCGTAGCTCCTCACTGTTCCTCCTCTCTTCATCCAAACGGGCACAAATCTGGAAAGAATCATCGTATAAATAATCAACAACATTGACTCTTGTGCTGCACACATACATAAGTGGAGCAGGACAGGCGGCTAGTGTTAAAATTTCATAAGGGTTTCCACATTTACCCTGTGAGTGAAGGCAAACACCAAAGAAAGACGGAGGATTTTTGTCAGAACAGCAAGTGGCAGAAGATAAATGTATGATTTCAAAATGATTGAAGACGCTCTTGAACTGTGTCTCTGACTAATGTACGACTCTTCATTTTAAGGTTTCAAATATTAACAGGGTGAAATAATTTCTGTAGAGTTTGTAGGTCCTTCCCTGTGTTTAGTTTGGCAACAGTGTGAGAAGACCAGCAGCAGTTCAGCCCCTACTAAAAAAAAAGACATTACAAAGTCTAGCTGAGAGCAAAGCTTAAAAACAACACCTACATGAGCTGCTCAGCTGAACAGCAGTCTATTTTTAAACTTCTGATACACTCGGAGGAGCACACTACTACAGAGACACTGTCCCTCTCGTGCTACATAGTCCTGTTCTGACTGCTGCAGCAGCCAACAACCATGAAAGTCAATGAAAACAGAGATGGATCTCAGCTTGACCGTGGACCCAGATTGTTTTACAGTGTGTCCCTGACAACAACGGTAAATTTGTGTGTGAGTGTTATACACCTGCTTCGAGACGCTATTTCTAGATGACAGGAAAAAAAAAGTTGTGTGTGAAAACATGCTGACCTCTTGATTGGTCTTCTTCTCCGAGCTCAGAGCTTCCTGGACGCCGTGAAGCTCGGCTGCGTGTCTTCTCATCACCTCCTCTATCGCTTTTCGCACCTGCTCCTTCAGTCTCCTCCTGTCCTCCTCAGCCTTCTCCACCAACCTCCTCCTCTCGTCCTCCAGCTTCTGCTGCACCATGATCTTCTCCGCCTCCACCTGTTCGATGCTCTTGTCCAGCTGGGAGCGAACGCGAACCCTGTCCACCTCCAGCTCCTTGCGCAGCCGGTCGACCTCTTCCTCCTTCTCCCTTCGCAGATGCTCTTTGACCTCTTCTGCTTCTTTGTGCAGCCACTCCTTCTGCTCCTCTTTCTCCCTGCGCAGCCTGTTTCTCTCCTTCTCCAGCTGATCTTTCAGTTGCTCCCGCTCCTTCTGCAGCGTCTCTCTTTCTTTGTCTATCTTCTTCTGCAGCTTGTCCCTCTCGTCGTCTGCGTGCTTTTGGATGCGTCGCAGCTCCTCCGTCTGGGCTCTGACCATTTCAGAACGTAAACTGGACAGGGCCTCTGCATGCTGGGAGTACAAAACAACGTATACACAGTGGGTACTACTGCAGTATTTAGTATGAAAGGCCAGGTTGTTACACATTTAAAATGTGTTTAAACTAAAAAGTTAACTAAATGTAGTGGACCTCAATATTCATATGGTACAATATAAACCAGGGGTACTCAACCGCTGGACTGCGGACCAGCACTGGACCCTAGATCATATGGTACCAGGCCGCAAAAGTTTTATTTACATATTTTTAATATTTACTTTAAGTTTATGCATAGATTTTATTTTGAAAAAGAAATCACATCCCTCTGATCCTCTTCACCGTGCTTCACTCCGTTACAGTTTTTTTCAGGCACGCCATCCATTTAAAATAATAAATTTGTCACTGCAGAATTTTATTAAATTTGGTATGAGTCAGCTCAAAAAGAAAGCTGTATTTGTTATGGTGGTGACCCCGCCTCACTGATCTAAACTTCGCACCAACCAGGTTGTAAAAGGAAGTAGAAGGAGAAAGTACAGCCTTCACTTCCTGTGCTCAGCAGACTGTCTGTCCTTCAGCTTCACTGCATGTGTCCACTAATGCGAGAAGGTGTCAGTTGATTCTGAAACTCCAAACTGTGTGAGTCAGAAACTGAAGAAGCCCCTCAGATTAAAGGTAAAATGTCTTTAACTAAACATCAACTCAGACGTAGCTGAGACCACGACCGCCCCAGTCTGATCAGTCTAAAACCATGACCAGAGTCACAAGACGTGGCTCCCTGAAAGAGTGATGTGACTGAAGAGAGTTCATCTCTGAGAGTAAATGTATCCAGCTTTAATGTGTGAACGAAGGGAACTGTGTGTGTCTGTCTTCTACCTGTCGTATCTGCCGGGCGTGGTCGCTGTTTCTGCCGCTGCTCTGCAGCTCCAGTTCTCTGTTCCTGCTCTGAAGACGGCTCAGTTGGCTCCTCATCTCCTCCACCTCGGTGCAAACACAAACGTCGCAGCTGCCACGGTTCAGCAGCTCCTCTAATACACACACAAACCAGGGGAACACCGACAACAACAAACAACCAAATGAGCCTCAAAACACACAATGGCATTTACTGATTAATTATGCAAAACAGAAGCAGAATGGAAATACATTAAGACCAGAGTGAACAAGGAAGGGGGGGGGGCAGAAATGGCTCTCACAGACAAAATAAATTCAGAGTGCTTTTGCTGACTGTGTGTAATGACACTGTGATGAAACCGTTTGCCATCGAGGGCCATCAATAATGCGCATTTGTTACATTTTCAGTGCACACCGGCAGCAGGAGGGAGACCACAACGACTACCTGCTCTGCTCTGCAGCTCGTCCTCCTGCAGCAGAAGTCTTTCCTTGGCGACTGTCAACTCCTCCTCTGCCCGTTTGGCCACGCCCTCAGCCTCGGACACACGCCTTCGGTCCAGCTCCAGCTCCTCCTCCAGGTCCTGGGAGAGAGAATGACAGAGAAGGCCGTAGAGAATCGGATGTGAGAGGAGGTAACGACAGTGATCCAAAAGGATGTGTGGAGAAACAATAAAGCAACACGGGTGGAAAAAAAAACAAAACAACAGATGAATATGTGAACAAAAAGTGTTGAGTCAGGAAGACGTCTTTGTGCACCGTGAGCCTTTAATGGTCGGCTCATGTCAGCTGCGTGCCAGCTCTCATAGGGCTTCTTGATGCTCATGCGTGAGGTGGTAATGGTGGTGGTGCAGCCAATCTGTCCGGCTCAAACTGCTCATTAGCAGATAGTTGGCATTGAGAATAGCTCTCAGAGAGAGCAGCCTGTGGTTGAGCAGCAGGATCCACCTTCTCTTTCCTCTGCTTCCAACTCACTCTCTGCATTACCATCAGCATATTCATTAGCCTGGTACCCCAGAAACAGGAGGCTTTTCAAACGTTTCAAATTCAAATTCCATTCTCACAGTTCTGGGACCTTTTTTTAATTAAAAGTATGCTGTGAGAGTATGTAGGGATGAAAAAAAAAACCCCACAATCAACTCAGCCTGTGCCCTTAAATGTGAATGGTGGTATAACCATCTGCAGAGTGGTTGCACTCTGCCAGTGTTTTTTATTTGTTCTTTTATCATTCAAGAGAAGAAGAAGGAGAAGATGGAAAAAAGATCAGCATTTAGAAAGTGTTTTTTTTTCATTTGGCTCTTAAATATGCAGGAGGTTTAACTTATATTTTTATTTTATTGTTTTTGTATCACATTCATTTCATCTCTCTGTTGATGAGAGGAAAATAAACCCGACTGTTAGCATCCTCCTGCTCCTCACGTTGTTTTAGGTTAAGCTCACACCCACACACACTGCACGTCACTCTATCACCCACAGGGCTGTGTCACATATATATATAACACTATATAACACTGTCTTCCAGTTCTTTGCAAATTTCTTGAAACCCAATCAAAGGAAGTACTGGCATTGGTACTTGCTAACGGCAAGTACAAAAATAAAGATACTTGCATTGGTTTGAAAAAATAATAGATAATTAAAATTAAAATGTATTACCACAGATTTTACTGCATTATCAAAGGGCTAAATGATCCAATTCAATCTGACGCTGTTTGTTTGAATAAGAATCTTCTACCTTTAGGTGAGTACAGACGCTGTACCTGTATCCTCTCCTGCAGTTTCACTGTGTCCCTCTTGCTCTCGGACAGCCGCTCCAGTTGACTCTCCACCTCGGCTTCAGCTCTCTTCACTCTTTCTCTCAGAGCACTGTGCAAACCCTTCTTCTCCTCCTCACCTCTCTCCTCCCACCTTTGCCTCTCTTCCCTCCATTCTGCGTCCATCTTCTTCCTCATGTCTTCCTTCTCCTCTAATAAAGTGTTCATTTTCTCCTCCCATTTCTCCCTCTCCTCTTTCACCAACCTCCACTGCTTCTCCTCTGCTGCGGCAACCTCGTCCTTCAACGTTTCCACCTCCTCCAAGAGTGCCGTCACCTTTTCCAAGTCCTCCAGATGTTCTCCATGTTTGTCCTCTTCTCTCCTTCTCTCTTCTTCTTCAATTTGCCTCCTCTCCTCTTGTCTTTTTTTCTCCTTGTCAGCAGCGTTCTGCAGTTCCTCACATTTGGCTCCCAGCCTCTGGATCTGTTCTTCTGCTCGCTCTAGCTCTTTGCTCAATCTTAGGCTCTCCTCCTGGGAAGCACAGATCTGGGTCTTGGCCTCCTGGAGCTTCTCACCTGTGGCCTGAAGCTGGTCCTCGAAATGTTTTCGCAGCTCCACCTCAGTTTCTCGCTGACTCTCTTCTGCCTGGATGCGGAAACACTCAAAATCTGCCTGAACCTGAAGGTGGAGAAACAAGTCTGAAAGTTAACAAAGTGTTTTTTTCTCTCCCTAAAACAAGTTCAATCAATGTGGTATAATGTTCTGCTGTATGATGACATACTTTTATCTTCTTAGAACTGTCAAAAAATACTTCAGAGCCAAACAGTGTGCACAGAGTGTATAAAATACACTTGAATAAGGCCATAGGGTGGACATCAGACTAATTAGCTGCCATGTTTTAACACAGTATTTAAAAAAAAAAAATTCATTATACGCTTTTACAGATTTCATCAGGGATGTTTGAATCATTTTTTAATTATAAGCCTCTGGTATTTGATCAAATATTATATAAGAATAATTTGTATTAACAGGGCCTTAATGTTCTAATGATTTCTGATGTTAAGGATATTTATAGGGAAAATACTAATTTAAATTAATATTGTGCTGGGTATTTGTACACCATATGAATAGAACTGATTTTTCCATGAGAGTGTCTTAATTAAAAAATCCTTTAAGTCTTTTATTATAGTAATAAAAACATCTTTTCCTAATTGAATATTTCATGTACTGCATCCAGGGCCACATTTCTTATAACTCTTATAACTAGAATAAAGGTATTGGATAAAATTCGTACACTAAAAAAAATAATTGATTTTTACAATTCAGAACCAAGTATTTTTGTACTACCTGTACAAATACTGTACTTTAACGGAAGTTTCACCTAATATAAATGAATCTTTTTCTGACCATGAACGAAACCTTTTTTGAAACGAAACGTTTTTTGGTTTTCATTTGTTTTCAGTGTTTTTAACAAACTGATGTTTCGATCATTCTGTCTGGACTGTCAACTCTCTGACATTCATCTTGTTGGCCTTGTAAGCGTCACATGCACACAGTGTGCAGTGTCAAATGTAAATGAGCAGAGCACACAGCACAAAGTGAGGCTGTATCTGAACCAGGCTGATTGTTGTAGGTCACATTAGGAGTAGATTGGATTTGTTGCTCCCATTGGGAGTTTACAACATAAATTACAACAACAACATGCCCTTGAGTGAGGTCAGCTCATCTCATCAGCAGGACAGTAGGAGTGCACCTCCTTCTCACACACACACACACACACACACACACACACCTGGGCTCCCACTCTCTGCTGCTCGTCCAGAGACTCCTGCAGTTCGAGGAGGCGTGTCCTCAGCGTAGACCCCTCCCCTTCGTGACATGTCTCCATCAAGATGCGATGCAGCTCCTCGTGGTGGGCTTGGCTGGAGGCCTGCAGGGCCGCCTCCTGCTCCTCGTTCCTCATGTTCAGAGAATAAATCACCTGCAGCACATCAGAGTCAGAGGAAGAAACAAGGGCCGTGAACAAACAGGACACCGTACGGATTTGAACTGTCTCTTGTTTGTTGTTGTTTCTGAGTTTACAGTTACCAGGGTCTGTTAGCATTAGCACGATGTATCAACCGATTCACACCATCACAACATTTTTTTTTTAGGTTCTATTATTATTAATACAATAAAAATGAACAGTGCATAAAATAAATATGAATAACAAAGATAATATAAATAAATAATCAAATGAAAATGATAGGTTTAATGATCGTGCCTCAGGACTCCATTACATCACTGTGATGTCTAATCAAGTATTTATGATTATTTTTCAAAAAACATTTCTTTTTTTGACAGTCCCTGAGAGCTAATTAATAAAACATCTTCCTGTTCTCAATAAAATAACGACATTTAATGGAACTTGAATGGAAGAGTGCTCAATCAGCCTACTTACAAACTGAAAAAGTCAAATAACTAAAGGACTAATGTTTCAACTGAGGAAGTCCTTGTGAAATTGGACTGGTGGTAAGCACTGAGGAGGTTTGTCTTACTAACTGGCAGATCACTGGTTCAAGGCCCAGATCTGAGTGATGATCTTCATAAAGGATGGAAGATCAGATAAAGTGTCAATCGTTCTCTAATTAGGGATGTTTAATTTTGTTAACTTTGTGTTGAAAATCTATGTGGAGAAAATACCATTTTGTTCAACAACCTCTAACATTTAGATATTTTTCTGCATGTTGCAGCTGCAACACCAACACTGGTCCACGCACACACACACACACATACACACTATAAGTCAATATACTAAAGTGGCAGTTTAATAAAGCCTAGCATTGATGCGAAAATGACTCAGCTGGAATAGAAAATCATTTAAAAACGGGATTAATTGTAAGTTCAACAAAAGCTCTGTCAAGCTGTGTGTCTTTTACAGACACAAAGAGACCAGTGAACCAATATAGCTCAGCCTCATGCTTCTTCTGCGTGACAACATGCTGTCAACCATGTCCTTCCCTCTTCTTCATTTAGACGCCACCGTGTGACACGTGGTCCGTTTTATCCCACTTTTCACCGCCCCCCCCTTCGACACGTCTACAGTGTCATCATCCACTCTTAGCGACGCGGACATCTCACTAACCCACCCCCCCGTATGCGTGCATGTTTGTGTGTGAGCACAAGCATGTTGGTAAGATGGGGACACACAGGCTCATATTTTACCCAGACGCCTCTCTGTCTGCCTTACACAGCTGCCACAGCACTGCCATGCATTCCCTGTGCGTGTGTGAGGGAGACCATGAACGTGTGTGCAAATGTGTTTATGTGTACAAGAGTAAGTGTAAGCAGTAATCTCTTTTTCAGTCCAGTTCTTAATATCAATGACTGATGTGACATTGGTCAGATCATAATCACAAACCCTGCCCCCCCCCCCCCCCCCCCCCCCCCATCAGTCAACTACAGTGTGTCACGTTGGGTATTCCATCACATCATAGTTCATGAACTTCAACACCTGAAATACGACTCATGACTCAGAGGAACGAAGGACACTCCGAATTGGGGCCGGCTCTCAGTGGGTGTGCTGTCGTCTTTAGCCAATAGGAAAGTGTGATAAATAAATAGTACGAGAAAGTAGGATTCAGACGGGGTTAGACATAAACATGTTCAGATCTTCTGCAAATGTGAAGCTCAACCTTGGGGTCCTGACCCCACACAGAGTCATCTGCAATTCAAATGGGGTCACCTGCATAAAAAGGTGTAGTAAATGATTAAAATAATTACTGATGAAATATTTTTGTCAAATTAATTATTTTTCTTTTTTAAATTATGATTAAAATAGCACGCACACTGTGTGCCATAATCTGGCTACTTATCTTGCAACAAGGTATAATGAACACGATCAAAGACTTATTCTAGAAGAGAGGTTTCCTGGGTTGCCAAATATTTATGACGTCAAAATGGGGTCACAGCCCAAAAGGTTGGAAAGCAATCACTGAAAATCTTAATATAAAGAATACGACCCTCACTGCTACTATAACAGCCTACCTAAGGAGATTTTGAACATTATGGTCAGATAAAGTAGCAGATAAAAAACATTGCCAATACAATCAAATGGTAGACTGTGTATAAAATATGGATACAGCTATCTTTGGTGCAGACTAGAGTTGCTAGGTGAATATTCTAAAAAAATGTTCTCTGTATTTTTTTCGTCCTGGTACCAGTGTGTTCGTAGTTGATTGTAGCTGATGTATTAAGCCTTAAACCTTTAAAATAAAACTCTGGTTTAAACTCCATTCTCCTGGGTTATAGGTTAGGTCTCCGGCCTCAACAGTGTTGAAATCCACCGTTATGTCAGTGCAGATTAAACTGAAAATAATATTTTAAATCATGAATGGAGCCGTTAATTATTAACACAGCAATTTGGTGAGAGAGGAGCCCAGGCCTGTTGCTACAGTAAATCTCATCTCACGATCCCCATATTGATCCCACCAGTCAAGGATGTTATTCATGTGCCCTCTCCAGCCATGGCCCTCGCTTATTGTCAATAACTTCATAGTCAACAAGGCATGAAATTAATATTTTGTCTGCCGCGCAACAGACAGCTGAGACCTGCATCTGTATCAGGAGTAAAATGAAAAATCGGTCGACAGAGTAGAAGTTAACAGGAACACACAAGAACATACAGCCTACTGTACTGTGTGTACTGCATTGGTATGTTGTGGACAAGTAAGTGTGAGATAATTAGAGAATACTCTACTCACTACACTACATCCCCAACCCTCTGGGGATGTAGTGTTTGACTATGTCTTCCTGATGTTCATACGTTTTCATAATTTTCTGGAGACACGTTCCTGGTCTTTGGGTCACAGGTCCTGCTGCTCTAATTACAAATGGCACCAACGCTCTTTTTACTGCTCATATAGTTTCTGTCTCCTGTCGCAGCCCTTGGTATTTGTTTAGCTTCTCATGTTCCTTCATCTAAATGTCTAAGATCACTATACCACTCACCACTGCCCTCTTGAGTTGATTATTGGCCAACAGTCAGGTCGGTTCATCACTAGATGTTTGTCAGTGTCAGTTAAAAAAAAAAAATCCCTCAATTACGAAGAAGCAGAAGAATCCCCCTCTACACACTTCTTGTCATACTACATATCAACACATATACACCCATTCCTGGAGAGCAGTGATCCCCTGCAGGAGTTCCTCGAGGGACATTGGTGTTTGCTCAACACCCCACACCAAGCCATGGTGGGATTCAAACCTCTGACAACAAGCTCAATCTAATTACCTCTAGGCCTCTGACCTAACATTCCACACAAGGAGACCCAGATCTCATAATTAAGAACAAACAAATAACATTTTTACCTCGATGTATAAATTAAGGTGGACCTAGTCTCATTGACACAGCCCTATAACAGTGGCAGAGCTCTGTGTGTGTGTTTGGTTCTCAGCAGGGCCACCCTTCACAAACCCGTCTTGATCCTTCACAACAGCTGATCGGACATAGTCAGGTCTCATTTTCAACGTATCGTCATGTAAACATACTCCAGTGTACTGGGTCCCGGGCAGACCACTGTGCTGGCAAAGGGAGGGTGGGAGGTAAAGGAAGAAGGAGGGGGAAGGGAGCTGTTAAAGTCAACTATATGTGTATTTAGGTGACTGGAGCAGATCAGGACAGGCAGACGTTAGAGGGAGGTGTGTGTGTGTCAGTAGAAGTAGTTATTAAATATATAAGATTACCACGGCTAAGTGATTTTCTATTTCTTCTCCACTACACACCCTGTCACACAACACTCAAATAAATTATTTGTCACATGCCCAGCATCTCTGCTCCCAGCAAAAAATGCTTGCACCAAATATCCAGTTTGACGATTCAATCTCATATTTCATCAGTAATGCAGGTACACAGCAACGACTTCAGCGGACAAAAACAAGAGAAAAAGAATATTACGACAAAACCATTGAGTGGTAAAAAAGGTGAGCTGGCAACTTCCTTCACCCAGCACAGACCCAGGCACTGACATCTGTATTAATCTACATTCATTTGGCTCTGCTGGTTTCTCAGCATGTATGAACCACACCGACAAATCAACCCATAATGCTGTGCATTGACATTGAGACTCCCGTGTACTTAAGTGGGGAAAAGCCAACAGGGAAGAAAAGGAAGTGCACAGTCATCATTAATTGTCATAGCTCAACAAGCAATAGGTCATGCCCTGCCTCTCTAAGCATTATTGTGAAGCCCAGGGAGAGAGGGTGAATTCCCTTATAGCAATGCTTACTGTATGGAAATCAGGACATACACAACCATGCTGCCACTGCAGCTGCCAAGCGTCCAAGCCTGCAGACTGGAATGTGCATGCATGTGGAAGAAGATGGAATAAACCACCAATAATCCTCTGAAGTCTGAATTCTGATTGATTTATTGTTGCATCGACACCTGAGATCGATGTGATGGATCCCCCATCTCCACTGACTCTGTTGCCTTTTCATGTCATTTATATTGTGTTTTATTTTGACACTATGGAGATTTGTGTCAATCTGTGCTCTGATCTGCATGGCTCAGATGTTTTAACACACAGTACAGTGTGTGCATGCAGTGTGAGAATGTGCAGAAGACACAAGGCCAATTATTTTTGCTGAGATTCTTTGCTGGCTGAGATATTTGCAGCCTGAACACGCAGCTGGTGTAGTGGATTCCTGACTATTGCCTCAGACACGAAAATAACAAAGGTTTACGTCAAACACTGAGATGATTTGTGAAGTGCACATCCATACTGTTGCAAGTACAGTGTGTTCTGCTGCATTTGCATGGTTTCAATCAACGACGGTGGTTGTTTGGAGATACAGGTTTGCTTTCTATCCTCCGGTGAAATCAATTCCTTTATCTGTAGAATCTTCCAGATGATAATGAATTATAGCATGCAGTCTAATGGAGTGGTTTCAGTGCGGTATGGCAGGTAGTGAAGCAGCCATCAGACCATTCATTCAGCCTGGACACATTCAGTGACTGACAGCACCTCCTAACCGGCGGAACCTCTCTATCACCGGTATCTTTTTTTTTACCTTGGTGAGCTGAGCGATCTTCTTGCACATCTTGCTGTGCATCTGATAGTCGTACAGCTCCTGCTCAATGTTAGGGAAGTCTGCCGCAGTCCCGTTTACGGCGGAGCCCGGCCCGGGGCTCTGTGCAGCCTTACCGGCGCCTGAAGCCATAACGAAACCCCCAGGGGAACTTTCCCAGAGCGCGGAGGACAGTCGGCTACGAGCCTGCCGTGTCTCACAACAATATTCCCTCCAGAAAGCCTGTCAACTTCTCACTCCTGCATCTCATTCCTCCGTCGGTAGAGCCGCTCCCGCCTACAGCTTGCTGGAAAACATGTGGTAGTAGATCGGCGGGGCTCTTATGCTCCTGCTCTCAGGTGTCTGCCCCCCCTCTCCCGCTATCCGCCCGGTGATCGCGGAGGTCACACGCTGGAAGCCCATCGGGGACGCGCTAGCGCCGACCTACCCTTCTCTGCTGCCGGCAGATTTATATAATTGTCTTATTGTGAGAGGAGGATGGAGGTGTCTAGTCCAACCACCTGTCTCTCGGCAGGGGCGGAGAGGGGCGTGTGTATCCTACGGAACATTACCGGAGACAGTTCCAGATTCAGCGCACTGCTGCTGCCGCTGCTGCTATTGCTGCTGCTGCAGTGCTGCCCCGCCCCTACCGGCGCTGCTGTATTACTCCCGATCGGGCAGGAGGAGGAGGAGGGGAGGAGGGGAGGGGGGGTCTCTAGGGTCTAGTCGTGTGATTTTACTCCATCACTCATATACGGTAAACAGAATATGCTGCTGAGTGCAATTTCAGTAACGCTGGTCTCTATATAGTTGGAGAGTGATGTACCAGTCAGTGTTAGTGCTACTGAAAGGCTGGAAGAGAAGCCCACATTAAATAAAAATGATCTGCCAGTTTTACTAAATGTATGGTAATGACTACATACCATTCAATGTGACAACTTTGGCCTGAGATCTATTTAGAAATGACTATCATTAAGTCTCTTTTTGTCTTTTGCTTTTAATAATGTTATATTTATATGTTATATATTTTTGTATTAGTATGCATGAAGTGGCGCTACAATCATTGTTCAGTGCCCTAGGTGAATTAGGAAGAGTAGTGCAATGTTGCTTTCTGCTTTAATCTAAGCAATCAATTAATTAAACCTTTTTTTTCACAAGTAGATTCAATAATGTACATTGAGCTTTTGAGACTAGCGACTGCCTATGGTTCTATACTGTTGGACAGGTCTAAGCTAGCAGCTAACCACACCTGGGCAGGTTAAGGTGATGCTGCAAAAAAAAAAGTTCAAAGCATTCCATTGCATAATATCTAAATATATTAACTATATTCTGCAGCAGTTACACATCTGCATTTGTGAAATTCTGCACACAAAAGACAACAAGACGTTTTACTATGCCTAATGTTAACAAAGTATTCACAAAAATAAAATGTAAAATGAAAATGTTTTTTCCAGATTGCCTGCAAATCCGATTTTAACAATCAACCATCAAAACCATTCCATCTTGCCTTTCCAGAACAAACTCATACACTTAGTAGAGGTAACTTAACCACAGAAACTGTGACCACAGAAACCGTCAAATATATCCAGCAATTTTACCCAAACACAACCACAGGGATTTTCCAGTAATGTCTTTTACCATGATATATTTCCCTGTGATTTAAATAAAAACAGTAGCAGACCCTAACAAATATTGTTCATTTCCTATTATCCACATTTTACAGTGTAGTATAGTATATATAAAACCTGGTAAATGGACATGCTTTATGTTTTACACCAGTTTATCACATAGCTCAACATAAAAATTGTTTTTTTCTAGCATTGACAAAGAACTTTAAAAAAGATTCACTACTCACTGAACTTCTGCATGGCCAGGAAAGGTAACTGGTAGAAATAATCATTATTATAACTTCATATATATATATATATAATATTTATTGGCGTTGGAGGGCAGTTGGATTGAATTTAATGGCTTACGTTTGTATGTTTGTAAAGCATCTTGGCACGACCAATTTCCGCCGTAGCGTCACGCTACGTGCAACGTCACTACGTAAACATTGAGACTGGGCGCCAACTTTCTCGCGAGAACTCGAGATCATTTGAAAACAGGCGGCAGCTCTGCGACGAATGCAAAGGGCAGTGAATTTGAAGTCAATTTTTGAAAACGCACAGTAAGTACTTTCAATCTCCAAACACAACAACTACACCGCGACGAAGTTAAATTAAAAATAATTATTAATAATAGCAAGTGATCGACTATCACGAGGAAGTCATTTACATTGTTTTTGCTGTTGTTTTGATACTGGCGTGTCTTGGCTTTTGTCGTCGCTAATAAGGCACTGGAGATATTCAAGCTACCGACAGTATTTAAAAGTCGAATAAACCCCTGCTACCTCTTAAGTCGATTTCGTTTATGTATTAATTTCTAGCAGGATAAAAGAATGACGGCAGATACGGAGTTAGAGATTAAAGAGGCGTTCCAGCTAGCTCAGAAGGGCCACAACAACAAGGCAAAGCTGGTGGCGAGTCTGAAGAGCCGATACAACAAGGTTTGTACCATCCATCTGTCCGCCACCAAAACCACGCTCTGAACCTCTAATGAGGTTATATAATTGTTCCTATTATTCTACTTTTTATATCAGATATTACTAGGTTGCACAAAAGTTTCATTGTAAGTTAATGCAAAACATAGGCACTGTTTTGGAGAAGAAGGAAAAAAATCCTATACTATTTTCGTTTCTTTTTTAACTTATTTGTTAGTGCTATTGTTTATTACATCCTTTGTGTATTTTCCTTTTTAGCTTGAGGACAAGACCTCGTTCCATGAAGAGTTTGTCCATTACCTGAAGCACGCCATGATTGTTTACAAACGTGAGCCAACAGTTGAAAATGTCATCGAGTTTGTTGCAAGGTTTTCCACCAGTTTCCAGTCTCCTCCAAAAGCAGAAGAGGATCAGCAGGGGAACAGTGAGGAGGAAGAGGAGGAACCAGAGGACGATCATCCATTCCTGAGTTTCATCTTCAACTTCCTATTAGA